TGGTCCAGGAAGCAGTGAGGCAGTGTGGCCTACCCTTCAGAGGTCTGGCACACTGACTGGGTCAAGGAGACTATTTAAAAGCTATGGTGCAGCATAAGTCTGATGGCTGTGTGACACATGGTACAATGGAACCTCAATTATCTGAATTCTAGGTAACTAAACTTTGATCTCCAAAAGTAGAAAAAGTCCCCTGAGGTTTGGCTTCAGTTCTTAAAAAATTTTAAGGACTAATTCTTATCAGTACGTTGCCAGATTTCTGTGAAAACAATGGAAGTTGAAAGCCTGAGCCTGCAAAGTTCATAAATATCACAAGGGGAGGGACTTTTTACTGTTAACAATATGGGCTCCTAAGCCAATATTACCTTTTATTCTGGAAACCTGTTCTGTTCAAATGCTGTAAATGAAATGATTCATAGCAAAGAAATTACACTTTAGGCCAGTGTTTCCCAATTTTATTTGGCCAAGGAACCCTTTTAAACTTGAAAGAAACTATTTGCGGAACCCCTAATAGTCTAATATATGGAGCTGAAAAAGTAGCCACAAATAAGTGAGAATAATAATAAACAAATGCTAAACAAGATCATAAGATCAACATTTAGTTTAATTCATCATCAACAACAACCATGGGCTCAATGCCCGTTGGTATCTGATGCCTCCCAACTATTTCCTTCCATCTTTCCCTGTCCAGTGCACAGTGGGTTAGTTTCTGGAGATGAGCTCCCCACCAATCTACTACATCATCTACCCATTCTCTGTGGGGTCTGCCTCTCTCTTATTCGGACCATCCATTATGCCGAATACCAAGGTCTTAATTTTTCGCTCATTGTTCATTCTCACGCTCCTCCTTCATCCAGGCTTGGGACTGGCATGAAACTCCTTGAGGCTTCATGGTGGAGTTTAAGTATGTGCAATTAAACTAAAAAACAAAAATCACATAATATTAATTATTTTTAAATCACAATGTTATTGTAATGGAATTTTATCACGGAACCCTTATTTTCACTTCTTGTGCAAGTGCAACATATAAATACAGTGTGTGGTTGTTTTGGAATGCAGTTAAAAAATGTAAAACTTTAGAGTAGTAGTGGGCAACCTGTGGCCCATCAAGGGTTCTACGTATGGCCTACTAGTCATTTTGTTTACCTTTTGCCCAAGTGCAGAGTTGCCAAATTCATTTGGTTTCCCTTTGTAGGTTTTTTCCTACTGATTAATACTAAAGTGACATGCACAGACATAAAGCAGGTGTACATGAAGTGAGGCGTGTGCTGATGGCGCACAACATTGACTGACAGAGCCATGAGCTCCATCTGCATCCAGTCAAAGCACTGCTACGGTTTAATTGTCACTCTGCAAATTATAGGTTATCTAGCACAATTAGCAAAACTATCCTAACCCAACAGACTATCTTGATTATGACAATCTTGCAGCCTGCTGAGATGGAAGGCCACTCATGTAGCCCAATCCTGCTTTAAAACCTATAAATCCACTCCAACCTGCTTCTTGTTCAGCCAATCACTAAGAGAAATGTTTTACATTTACAGGAGATAATGCTGCTCACATTGACAGTGTGATCTGAAAGTGAGAACAAGCATTCTCATTGCACTTTTAGCTGGCTTTCAAGGCATTTATATGCCACATTTGCTAAATATTTGTATCCTCTTCATGCTTCAGCCACCATTCCAGAGAACATGCTTCCATGCTGATGATGCTTGCTATACAAATATAATGCATTAATTAAATTTGTGATTAAACTCCTTGGGGAGAATTGTATGTTTCCTGCTCTGTTTTAAGCACATTTTGTTGTATTTCATGTTCTAGCCATGTCAGATGATGACCTGGTAGGTTGTTCTTTTGAAAAACGCTTTCACTGCAAATTTGATAAAATCAAAGAAGCGTGAAATTTCTAAAGATAGCTACAGCATTTGACCCAAGGTTTAAGAATCTGACATGCCTTCCAAAATCTGAGAAGGACGAAGTGTGGAGCATGCTTCCAGAAGTCTTAGAAATGCAGCATTTGGATATGGAAACTACAAAACCTAACCCCATCTGAATCAGATGATGAAAATAAGCACATCGGTCTGTACTCCTTTGGATCGTTACTGAGCAGACCCTGTTGTCAGCAGGGACATAGCTCTTCTGGAAGGGAGGTTGAAGCAAGGAGTGACATATTAATCTTTAGTGGTAGAAATGTAGCCGTGTTAGTCTGGTGCAGCGGAAACAAAAAACAGGACTGTGTAGCTCTTTAAAGACTAACAAGATGGTTTAATAGGTGATGAGCTTTCGTGGGCCAGACCCACTTCCTCAGATCAAATAGTGGAAGAAAATTGTCACAACCATATATACCAAAGGATGCAATTAAAAAAAAAAGTGAACACATATGAAAAGGACAAATCAAATTTCAGAGCAGAAGGGGGATGGAGGAGGGGGAAAGGGGGGGAGGGTAAATGTCTGTGAGCTAATGATATTAGAGGGTGATAATTGGGGAAGCTATCTTTGTAATGGGTAAGATAATTAGCGTCTTTGTTTAGACCCATACATAAAGTGTCAAATTTAAGCATGAATGACAATTCTGAAAAGTGTGTGTATGTGTGTATAATTTTTTTTTTTTTAAAGCCACCTGATAACTCTGTCCAAGCAGGGACCTGGTCTGCTGCAGCCCCTGTCTGCAGTGGATCCGGGCTGGCCACGGGGAGAGGCTCCTTTGGCCGGGCAGGCAGCCTGGCTCAGTCCCAGCTGGTGCTGGGCCCAGGATCAAACCCTGCTGCGGCGCTCTAATTAAAAGGCAGTAGGAGTTGAGAAGCCTTTCCCTTTGCAGAGCCACACTGGGGTTTAGTCCCAGACTAGCGTGAGTCAGAAATGAGCCAGGCTGCCTATCGACTAATGAATAGTTAATAGAATGTTTATAAACTACGCAATTTACTAACTTCATTTAAAAATTCCTGATTCTAACAATACATATCAAATGTGTTCTAAATTAGCTGTAATCAGTCAAGAAAGACATTTTGGAATCATCATGGGTAGTTTCTCTGAAGACATCCATTCAGGAGCAGTCAAAAAAGCTATCAATATTAGCAACTATCAGGAAAGGTGTAGATAAGACAGAAAATGTCCTATTGCCTCTATATATAAATCCATGGTACACCCACATGTTGAATACTGTGTGCAGCTGTTGTCACCTGATCTCCAAAACAATGTAAAGGTTCATAAAAGGGCAACTAAAATGATTAGGGGTATGGAACAGCTTCCATATGTGGAGAGATTAATAAGACTGGGACTTTACAGATTAGAAAAGAGATAATTGCGGGGGGGGGGATATGATTAATTTCATTTGGTGACCCTACGTTCTTGTGTTATGAGAGTAAATGAGTAAATGCATCTACAAAATCATGACTGGGGTGGAGACAGTAAATAATGAAACGTTTACTCTCTCAACACAAGAACCTAGGGTCACCAAATGAAATTAATAGGCTTCAGGTTTAAAACAAATAAATTTCACACAACTCACAGGCAACCTGTGGAACTCCTTGCCAGAGGATGTTCTAAAGACCATGACTGTAACAAGACTCAAAAAAGAACTAGATAAATACAGGGAAGATTGATCCATCAATGGCTATTATCCGTGATGCGCAAGGGTGGTGTCCTTCGCCTCTGTTTGCCAGAAACTGGTAATGAATCACTTAATTTCCTGTTCATTCCCTCTGGGGCACCTGGCATTGGCCACTGTCAGCAGACAAGAGACTGGCCTACATTGACCTTTATTCTGACCCAGTATGGACTTTCTAATGTTCTTATATAAATGGCAGAACTATTGAAGTCAGTACAGCTATGCTGATTTACACCGACTGAGTATATAGCCTTAAGTGTTGTTTCACTAATGTGAGGTGGAAATTGTACTTTGTATGGAAAACATGTGGGTAAATGGATTGTGAAGTTGTGTAGTTTCACATACGGGTCATAGCAGCTCTATCCTTTTAGGAATCACTTTTTGGGAATTCTACTTGGATTTTCTCTGTGAACAACAACATTTCTAATACTGTGCTCCTGTCTATAGTTTGGAAGATTCGATTTATAATTCTCTGGTGGTGGTAACAATCACAGAAGCCATTGAGTAGCAAAAACACGGGCATTTTTATCACTCTTTCATCTCATCTTAATTTAGTTTTCATGATATGACACTGAAAATGCTTGTCTAATCTACTATTTATACCATTGCTACTCCCAGTGGAGGTGCTTTGGAGGAGAATTGAAGATCCACATTTTCCTACCATAGACACAATGATTACTTTGACCATGGAGCTTTTTTCTCCATGTGTACACAAGTAATCATAACAATTTAGCAATCCATTTCATTCTAGTCCTCTGTATGAAGCTGAACAAAATCCTAGTGTGGCTTTAACATACTGCTGAAGGCAAGGATGGTCCAGTGGCTATGGCACTAGCCTAGACTTATTCTGCCATAGGCTTCCAGTGTGACCCTGGGCAAGTTGCTTAGTGCCTCAGTTTAAAATGAGGGTAATAGTAGAGTTGGGGGGGAGGGAAATACTCAAAATGCAGATTCGGTGATACTGAAATCTTTTGATGAAATTGTCATGATTTCACAAAATATTTTAGTTGGGGGAAAAAAAATCTTTTGACGTTTTAATAAATGAAGCATTTATATTTATTTAGTTTTGATTCAAAACAACTTTATTTCAGGGTTGTTGTTTTTTAATTGAAACAAAAAATTAAAATGGTTGAAATCAAAGCAATGTGTTCATTTTGTTAGAACAAAACATTTCATTTGACCAAAACTTGTATATTTTTTTTTCAACATGCTGGAAATATTGAAATATTTCATTTTAGGTTTAGTCCAGAATATTTCTGTTTTCTGGAATTACTGGCGAACTGAAAAATCCATCACTTACATAGCTCTAGATAACAGCACCTTCCTATCTCATAAGGGTGCTGTGAGGATAAATTCAGTCAAGGTTCTGGAAGATGCTCTAATGGCTGGTACAACAATGGAGACCTTACAAGTTGTACAGTGGAGTCCGGATTATCCGACTCCTGGTAATCCAACACTCGGCTTTATCCGACCCTGCAGCTCCCGGAGACTTTGTCCCTGGGAGCTGCAGGGTTGGATACAGCACGGGTGGGGACAACGGCCCTGCTTGCTGCCCTGTCGCTCTCTTGGAGCAGCTGCTGCCCCACCTGCCCGGGACAATGGGGCAGCAAGTGGGGCTGTTCT